AAATGTGCGTGAAACGTTATTCATAGCAACACATAGTTGCTCCAGATCCCTCATTTTCAAAATCAAAGAAAAATAAAAAATCGTTTGAATGTTCACGCTTTCCACATGCAATACATGTCAATTTCTTTCATTTCTGTTTGACAAAACAATAATGGATTTTTTGATAATGGTAAATGTATAAGTCAATTAAATTAAAAAACTAAATACAAACTTTTACATAAAATAAATAAATAAATAAATGAAATTACAGAAATTATATGCAAACCGCAACAATGTCGCACATAGAACATAAGTTGGATTCGTAAACAACATCTGCAAGAAATACATAAAGAAAAAGTATTAGCATAGTTCTTCAATTAAATAAAAATATTAAACGAATTTAAACCATCTAAATTAAATTATAATACGATAAATGAATGAAATCAATTCAAAAAAAATCACAGAAAAAAAAAACCAAAAAGAGAAAACGAAAAACGGAAAACAAAAACAACTCGAATGGAATGGGTGAAGAAGAATAGTGTAGGGTGAAAAAAATAGATGGGGGTTTATATAGCTTTGATAAGTGTATAGTAATTAGGAAATTTTTTGAATTCAAATTTCAAATGACATGATTATAGGTGGAAAAGGAAAAAAAGAAAAGGTAAGAAATCAAATCAATTTAATTCGGATGATTTGATTTCTATTGATTAGGAATTAATTTTAAAATATTAAACAATATTTATAGTTATTGAATATTTTCATTAAACTAACTATATCAATTAAATATAATCATCTTAAATAGGTAAGAAATCAAATTTCATATCATAAAATATATATTCTGATTTTAGAAAATTTTAAAATAAATAAAATATACACGGTTTATTTTTTATTGTCTTTTTTTTGTATTTTAATAATAAAATTTTAAATTTCATAATATATTATTAATATGTTAATTTGAAATTGAATTTTAATGCATTATTAAACAATATTAATATATGGTTTTTAATATTTTTTTATTGAATGGATATTCGAATATTCCAGAATATTGAAAATTAAAAAAAAAAACTGTATTCCTTTATTTTAATATTTGAATATTAAAAAAATATTTTTTTTTTCTGAAAATTATTTGAATATTCATAAAAAAATTGAGTGTACTGAATTTTTTAAAAAGATTGCCAATAAATATATTTTGAAATACTGGAAATGTAAATAAGATTTTTTTTACTTCGAATTTATAAAATATTAATTTTGGAAATAATATATATACACGTGGTAATTATTTAAATGAGTGTATAAATGGTAAATAGGAAATAACTTAAATACATACCAAAATAAAATTGACAACTCACCAATTGAAAAATCCACATCATCAATTGAACTCCAACTAAGCAATTTTGATAAATGACATCATCATTTGCCACATGTCAATCATTGAGGGCATAGATCCTCTTTTTATATTATATATAGATTAAAGTAGCAAGTATTGACTATTGCAAGACAATAAGTTCCAACCGACATCTGACTTGGTCAAGATTTTATCAATTCATCGTATAGATTCAGCGCGATTATAATAATAAGTAGAGTTATATAAATACTCAATAATACAAAAAATAATATTTATTTACGGTATGTTTTTTCTCGAATTTTATTTTATTATTTGTGAGACCCTACTTGAAAATAGGAATATGAATAGAACATACAATATTTTAGATAGGCATAAATTTTATTATGATATTTTTAAATATCTAGATTAAAAAAATTATACTATCAAAATAAAACATTATTTAATTATTAGTATTTAAAAGCTGAAAATTAAAGAATGTGGTGGGCTGACTGTCGAGTAGCGGCGTGCTACGTTTGCTCATGCCACGTCACTCACCAAAAAAAATAACAATTTCCACGTAGGACCAATTTATTATATTTATATTAATAAAATTAATACATGCAATTAATTTCAATGAAATATGCATTAATTGCACAACGAAAATTGGGAAACGGATAAGGCCTATTTTGGTTGGAGGGATGGGAGTGGATGGGATATCAAATCCAATTTCATATTACACTGTAGGGATAGATGATAAAAGCTAGAAACTCATATTTGGTAAGTGGGATTGAGCTCATGGGATTAAAACCATTTTCTTATCAATCTTGCAATAGGTATGATGGATTGCTGGATTGTTCCACTCCATGTGGTCATTTACGAAACTACCCATATGCATCTCCACGTCATTTTTATGTTGAATTTCAAAATTTCATTGGCTTTTTTTTCTCTATTGTATCCTTTGTGTTCACAAAATAGAAAATTGGGTGATTATACTTCATAAAAGGAATAGCAGCAACTCAACCATGACCACGAGCTCAACATATTTTCTCTATTTTTATATGTGATCTTTTTACAGTATGCATGAACAACAAATGCAATAAACAATTATGTCTAATGTCAATAGTGAATTATAAGTATCACTCTCCAATGAATTACAAGTATTAAAAAAAAAAAAAAGAATTACATGTATCAAAAAAGAATTACAAGTGCAAAAAAATAATTTTTTTTTTACAAGTATCACTCTCCAATGAATAACAATTGGACTCCTCTTGAACAATTTTTGAATCAACGAATCCTGCTCATAAGACAGAGATAAGCCAGAAAAAAAAATCACACAAGAAATGCAGAATCAAATTTACCACTGAAGTACAAAACAGTTCCAAGTAAAAGATCATTTCATTTTTATTTATTGATACTGAAATAAATGATAGGCAAAAGATAAGATACTCATACAACCATCAAGAGACCATGGGGAACAAACAATAGCTATAGATTATTACTCATAAAAACTCTAGATTTGCCTCCTTCTGGTTCACCATTACACATGAGAGACTAAACTCTCGTAGTAAACATGCGCTTAAGGAAAGGCACGAAAGTCCCTCATCATGAGATGCCTAAACTGATTATCCTTTGGGCAGTAAATCATGAAAGTCGATCCTAAAGTCAACAAGATTTCACCCTTTGGTCCAATTCACATTGGGGTAATGTATGGAGCTTCTTTACGAAGGTAAACAGAAGGAACAAGCACCATTTTAGCCCAAAATTCACTCTGAAACAAGTACAAAATGAAAGAATTAGGGAAATTCAATAAGTAAATGTTAAGCGAGAATTAAATTTAATTTGACATAACATACAATTTTGGGGAGAAGTGTACCTTTGTCGGGTGAGGAGTTGTAGGATTTCTTGCAATAGAGAACGGCGCTTTGGATTCCATCTTGTTGTTCCATCAACAAATCGTCTCTCCTGAGGGATACGCGGAGCCGCCAGGATGAACCCGGGGCCGATGGACTTTTTACCAAATGCTTCGCTAGAATCTTAATGCTCCCCTTAATGCTCCCCCCGTCCTGCCACCTTCCAAGGAACTCCTCGACGATAATTGTACACGCGCATTCGCTGGCGCAGTGGACGGCGTCGTTAAGGAAGCTGTGGACTTCACCTTCTCATTCTGCCTCTTCCAAACCTTTGAGTACAACACATGTCTAATCAGCTTCAGATACTTGGGAACGGATTCTCGCGGCGGCAATTTTTCAGATGAAGTTTCGCAATCAGATGTTTCTATCAATAGATGACTTCTCAAATTGTCGTCTTTGCCCAATGTAGAAGCGACCGACGATTTCAAACACTTCGGAACATGATTCACCAGACTGATTCCCTCCAACTCGCCGTTGGACTTTGTTTTATTGCATTTCGACAATTTTATGAAACCCAACAAATCGACAAAATAGATCAAGTTTATCCAACGAGATGAAAGAACACTAGTTCGTGCAGCTTCCTTCATCGATAGCAAAGATATGATAGCGACGAGAATATCATCCGGCAGCTGACTAATGCGGTCATTATCACCTTTCGATCTTTTATTACACTATCAAACAAATATAGTGCTTCATCATAATTCATAACTAAGGAACAGTAACAAATTTTTTTTGCAATTCACTATCCCAATTCTAAACACCCCTAGCTAACGTTTAAGTCATTGACTAAGTTATAATAATCAACACAAAACCTAATTTATTGTTGCAAATTATTGAGGAAAAGGAAAAACAACCCAAATTGAAATAATAATTCATCAAATAAGATTAGGGATTTCATGCCGGAGAACACATACAACATAGTATGGTATGAGAAAGAAAGAAAAAATACAAAAAAGTTTTGCGATGAGCAAACCTTGTTCAATTGAAACTTGGAATCAAGTCAGAGCCGCTTCCGAGCCATTAAAGCTTAAATCTTTGGACCTCAAACACCGAGGTTTCTGTGTGGTGTAATAAATTGAAAGGAAAACGATGAATTTGATTTCAGGCCCAACAATTAAACCCATTTTTTTCATGCATATATGGAAATATTATTTTTTTCCCAGATTTTTTCCACCAGTCGAAAAATCGTATAAAACAACTCCCTTTCAGATTTTTTCCCAAATAAGCAAAAAAAAAAAAAAAAAGAATGATGTAATCTGCAAAATCGATGAGACGCAGACTTTGTGCGAGAGAGATTAGGGCTTCGGGAGTCGTTTTTCGGGGGAGAAGAAACATATATAATAGGTCGATCCGTCAGTTAGAATTAATGGCGAGGATGAAAGGGTAAAATCAGGTACGGTGTAAAGTGAAGAATGGGATGGGATACTAGATCTCACCTCAACTGGGCGGATACATTTTCAGCTAAACGATGGATCCAAACTCGGGCAAACTCGGGCCAGAGATCAATCTCGGGTCGACTAAAATGAACCAAATATGAGATCTCGCTGGATTAGAGGATCTATCCCTCCATATCCTTCGAACCAAAAAGGCCCTAAGTGGATAATGTGGTATTTAATTGAGTGCAATTTCATGCAACAATTCTCTACACTTGCTTTTTTAACGGCGTTACACATGCCGTTACCCACCGTTACAAATAAAATGAAATTCACGTGCGCTCCCTCCTCCCTCCACGTAATATAGTGGATTAGTGGCGCGTGCAGTTTGACACGTGTATATATGAAATAGGTGATGTGTACCAAAGAATCATGCACGCAGTATCACGACACGTGTCATTTCTTATATTTAAAAAAAAAAAAAGAAAAAAAAAACAGCTCTGTCATTTTCTTTCCACTTTACATTTGCAAAACTGTCACTATCCTTTTGCCAAATTAGACATCCACAGAGGTAGTTCGAATCACACAAATAGCACATGATAATGAAATGATTTATCTATCTATTTATGATCATTACAATTTTTATTATTTATTTATTTCCTAAGTGAAAATTACATTTACTAAAGGTTAATAGTGGATATTATTAGAAAATCATTGACTTTCCTTTGTATCCGGATAGCTACCAGCACTTGACATATACGATACGAATAGACGTCGTCGGACCCAAATTCAGTAAGATTTGAATCAATTGGCCCGAGTCGAAGCCCACATAATATTTATTTATATTTGTATTTAATTACCAAGCAATTATTATTTGGTAATTAAATAAAAACAAATGTTTCATTATTTAATTTTCATCCACACCCATGATTATTCAAGATTTTGCAGCCTAAAGTGCTTACTTTTATAATAATTTACCCTTTTGTCCTGGAGTCAAATTACAAGCAACAATTTGGAATAAGTTAGTGATTTGCTTATCCACATTTGACCTAATATTATCCAATTAAAGTATTTGAAATGACTACTTGCACATCTTCAATAAAAACAAGGTGTGAAAATGATATATATGCTTAAAGGATAACATTTTCTTTTATCAAGACCTATTAAAGTTAAAGTACCAAAGTACCCTCGATTGTAATTACAATTTGCCAATTAGTTACACTCCTATTTTGTTTTAAAACAAGAAAGTAAAAAGGTGAGTCAAGATAAAATTACACAATTTAAAACAACTTACAAATAAGTTTTGTTGACTTGATTTACGTGGTATACTACTCCCTTGTTTGGTTGTCAAAAATTAAATAATTTAATGAAAATTATCGTAATTTGTTGGTCGATCGATAAATTATTGTAATATCAAACATCAAATATAATCCAATTGTTTAATTAATAATGTTTAATTTCCTGAACCAAACAAGGTCTATATTTATTGATTTTTGTGGATAAGTACAAGTAATATAAGGATTTATTTTTCGAATAACGTAATTATGTTACAGATTTGATGAAATCGGATTGTTAAAGGTAAATTACCAAGAAAAAGCTTACCAACTTTGTTGTGGATTACATAAATTGATATGATGAATCTATACAAATAAATGAATAATCCACCCCCAATTCCACACCCCACCCCCATCCACCCACCCCACCCGAAAAAATAAAAAGAAGGAAAAGGGAAATAAGAAAAAGACTTGTTTGACCCTGAAAGAGGATAAGAAAAGGAAATGATATCCGAATGAAAACGGGTGATAATGGCAATGTTGTAATAAAACGAGTAATCAGGGGGCAATTATATGGAATAAAAAGCTCGGAAGGAACTGGGGTTCAAAGTTCAAACCATGGTTAGTTCAAAATACCGGGACTACAGTGAGGGGTCCCCACTAATTTCCACCTCATTCCCATTTATTTTTCAGTGCAAAAGTCCGGCGACGCTTCGGGAACTTGTACCTTGCGCTATTCGAGCGTTGTACATTTTATCCATTTCGCCGCATTAATTACTCTTTCATTTATTTTCTCTTTCTCTCTCTAGATGCACAATTGCACATAATCTCTACACCGCACTCTCTCTCTCTCTCTAGAAAAACTATATCCATCTGCAGAAATTTCACTTTTTCTCTCTCATTTTCCTGTCTCTCGGTTCGGTGCTCTTTGTCATTTTCCTTCTCTTCTCTTTTTTTCTCTCTCTAAAACTCTGTTGAGTGAAGCAATTGCGAAACGGCTCTTCGGTGCTGAGGCGGACGCGTATTCGGATCTCCGGTGAGTGTTTTTGCGTTTGCTTTTCGAATTTCTGCGAGTTAATTTCCGGTGAGTTAATTCGGATTGATAGAAGATTAAATGAAGATTTTCGTCTTCATTTTATTTTTTCTCTCCAGTTTTTCAAAATTTAAGCAGCTTTATTGAAGAACTGAAGTTTTTTGCGATTCTACCATTGTGTGTTTGTGTGTTTGTATTTTAATGGCGGAGTGAATTTTGGAAAAAAATTATTTTTTTATTAATGACTAAATGCTTATTTTGCCTGTTTTTGTAGGTGTTTGGTGGTTTAAGCTTTCCGGAGAAACGACAGAGGATTGATTGGTAATCATACTGGTTTGTTGTTAACGTACACTAATCTGCTTACTTTTTGATACAATTTTAAATTCATAATTGCTTTCATCACCTGTCATTAAGCCTGTGATTTATGCTAAAATCTTGTCATTAATTGTGTGCAATCATGTTAAAATTGAATCATCCGAGGAATTTGTTGCGCGTGCGTGTGCGTGCGCGCGCACACAGGGCAATGTAGCAGTAGAACTTCTTATCTAATCAATTTTTTTGACAAAAACTTTAATTTGCAGCTTCATTCATGTGTTATAACTGCATGCTGAAGGCGCTATATTATGTTCATTTTTTTGTTTGTTTAAAAGTATAAATGCCGAAGCATGTCATCAAAATCCCCATCGACTATTATGATTCTGTTTCACGGCTCATGCATTTTTGAGTGGTCGGCCTTTTGCCGAAGCATGTCATCTCATTTTTTACTATCAATGGTTGTGTGCTTTTGTTTGGTTCTATGCATCACTTCAGTCCACAATTGACTTTTGGGCTTGCCTGATTTATTAATATGAAATGGAAGATGCTATTGTTAACGATTTATCTGAAGATTTCAGCTGTCTGCTGAATAATGTGATTGGTTAGAGTCCTCATATTTAGTCGTGAGTATGATATCTTGAGAGGCTCTTGGAAAGTTATAACTTTCTTCCTCGATCTTGAACTCTACAACACATACGAATGGAGTCTACTGCTAAAACCATTTTCAATGTTTTTCATCAGCCGTTTTCTCTTGCGGTAACATTGTAGCATAGGCACATATCATTTCTTTTAATCAACTTTTGCTTTGTGTTTTGGCACAAAGCATTAGATTTTGATGACATGGGGCAAGTGAGTTCCATGTTGTTCTAGTTATAAACCAAGAATTTGGTTGAAATATAACTTGGACCATGATAAGAGTTAGGGCATGTGCATTGTAAAACCGCACCGGATCTTACCGAAATTTTGGTGGATGGTTTTACCAAATCTATTCGGTGATGCTTATCTATTTTTGGTAATTCGGTTCTTTAGTACAACCGAAATGTTTAAACTAAATTTCTATAGATCAATTTCATTTAATGAAATTTGTCACATGAAGAAAAACTTTGGCACTCGTCGGAGTGTGTTGCATGTTTTTCTCGCCAACCGTTTCACGGTGATTCCTAGTACAAGCTAGCTTCCTCCAATGTTTACTTCTTTAAAAGTATTTTCCCCGAGGTTGAAGTTGTTGATGGATCTTATGGCGGAGCAAGGACGAGATTGCATGGAGCAAGGAAAAGATTGCATGGAGCAAGGACACTGCTTGGGGTGGTCGGAGCTCTCTTTGTTAGTGAGTGAAACGGGAATGGAACATCAATATCATTCTAGTGGGCGTGATTTTTGGTCACTCTTCGTCACAATCAAAGGAAAATGAAGCCCTTAGTCAAAGCTAAATCCAAAAACCAAAAGATAATTCCATATTCGGTTCACTATGAACCACACCTTTATATTGCTCTTAATTTGAATATGGAAACATTGGAAATATCCAATCCAAGTACCAAACAAAAACTTCTGGCTCGATTGTATTACAAACTTAATTTTTAGTTTTGGTACGGTTTGGTCGGTACAACCAATCTTGTGCACCTTAATGAGAATTCCTTTGGCACATAATATCCAAATTATTGAATTATTTTGGATTCGACGAGAGGCCATTAATGAGAAGAGGCCTCAATTGAACATAATTCATAGAAGAAATTGGAATAGTTCCTTTATTTGGTTTAACATTATGTTTGGATGAAAAACCAAAGGGGTTTGAAATATCGTGGGGTTACTTTCAATCTCATTGGAAGGTTTTACTAAACGTGCTCGTTTTGATTTCTATCGCGAAAAGACTTTTGTCTTTTCTTTTGTTCTTTTTGTTTTTGCAGATGGAATGTAGACTTCTATATGAAGCGCGTGGATCGAAATTTGAAGTACTTGAGAAGGACAAGAGCCCTTCATAGATAAATTGTATACGGTCGTTCATGCGCATAGTTTTGTGCTTATAAACTACAACTATGGTGTTGGATGGAGATTATACAATAAAATTCTTGTTCGCAATGTACAATCCTATCCGAGAGGATCATACCATGCGAAAAATGATCAACGTAAATCGGACGAATCCTTATCTTATTGGAGAAATAAGTTATCGTCATTAAAAATTGCGATAAAAATCAATGAAGATTTCTTTTTTGATCTTGCGCGACCTCATTTATCAAATTCATTCCCACAAGACCACTCTTTTCATTTAATGGTTATCTCTCTTTGATTGATGTATACCATTTCAAATCCATGTTGCATACACCACATATATATGTGTGTGATTATGTGTAAATAAAATGTGATATTGACCCGGAGAAGTTCACCGGGTATTACATGGAATACACTCCAAAAAAGCATGATAGTGTGGGACGGGTTTGGTTATAATCGTGGCATTTATCATGACTTCAATATGGAATTTAGAGGTGTCGGTGGATTCGCACTATTGGAGCGCATGCATTTATGCTTTTCCAAAGGTTTGGAAGAGCGCTCACATGAAGAGAATAAAATGCTAGATTTTGCGAGGCGAAGTGTCCATAGAGTTTGAAGATCACAAGGCTCGATAAAGTATCTATTTATTGCTTGAATGTAGCCGTTAAAATTCGATTAAATTCTTAAAATTCGAGGATTTAAAGAATTTTTCCCATCCATTAAATTTTGGATTCTCCTTACTTCATTTCTCAAACTCTTCTTCAAGAGTACATTCCCGAACACTTCCAAACATGATTTAACTACCGCAGTAAAAATCGTCTCATTCCAATTCAAACAAAAAATACTTCATTTGTAAACATTTTTTTTCTTAGAACACTCTCTCCTTTCAAAATTACATGGAATATGGCCCAAAAATTGGTTCAAGATATTTCCATTTCCCTTAGATTATCATTACTCGACATAGCAACTTTAACAAGAATTTTATTAATACGACAATATTAAATTCGGATGTTATAGTCTCGGAAAGATTTGGATCTCCTATTTGCTTTGAAACATGTCGTGCTATAAGTGTTTTAGCCGAGAAAAAGTACTTGTATTTAATCAAGTAAGTTTTTGGAATTAATAGCTAGTTTTGCACATTTGTCGTTTGTATAGATACTTTTAGGCTCTCATTGGATCAAGGAAAATGTTAAGTAAAAAGATGAAAGGACTAGGTAAAATAGATTTTATGTTTGGTAAGGAGTTAAAATATTTGGGTCTTAAAGGTGGCATTATTTCGTCTCCGCAAAAAAGTGAGAACTACACGTAAAACACCATAACGCCATTAGGTTTTCTATGTTCCGGAAATCCAATTCCTCTCCGTCCTACAAAACACCCAATTATGAAACTCAACGAACACATCTTATTGGGTAAATTCTTGGAAAGAAAATAATTTTCCACAAAATCAATTTCATCACCATTTTCCTTAAGAACCGGACATACTAGAAAATTTCAATTTTTTTTGTTTTTTTGTTTTTTCGTTTGCATTTTCATTTTTCCAATTTCAAACTCCATGAACCAAACTGCTTAGCCAGCTGAAGAGCTATACAAAGTTATGGGCAGAGTGATTTCCTTACCCAAAAGGATCTTTTATAACTTTATCATGAGCATGAATATCTCATTTCACCTCAAGGCGCTAAATGCCGTTATTCATATTCTTTACTTTTATACATGAATATTAAACACCTGTATATTTGTGTCTAATCCTTTTACTCACGTTTCTTTTGGGACGGTTAATTTTACGTCTTTAATGTCACACTTTTGTATGTCAAGTCGCATTTCTTACATTGTTGTCCAAGAATGCTACCATAAATGAAATGAAGAAATACATATCTTACTAATAATCACTCTATCTCATATTTGAGTTGCGTCTACTTTCTTGTAGATCTTTCTATTTACTCTTTCTTTATATATCTGTCTGATGTTTAGATCATATTCTTGTCCGTATATAATGATTTGACTTTTAGCTTTTGTCTCATAGCCACGTGGACTTTAATCTCCGTTGATACTTTAGGTTGCAAAACTAGTACGCTGTAGCTATGGATAGTTTTATCTATTCAGTCCGTGCTTGTACACTTATTTTCGCAATTTTGATTATCCGTCGTTTCTAGCTATTTTACGTGTGTTTTTCATGTGTGCTTGCATCATGACTCTGTGCATGGCATCATAACTCTGTGCATGGCATCATAACTCTGTGATAGAATTGTCTACTGTTTTAATTAGCTTGTTTGTTTAGTACTTACGCCGAATGGTGTTGTTGAAATTCTCTGTTTGTTATGCAGGCTTGTGGATAGATTTCGCTGTCAGCCTCTTCATTTATTTCCCTAAAGTGCAGTTGCTAAGAACCACCGCTTCTAGAATTCGCTGGGTAGAACAGAACACTTACTGTGATGGCATCGAAATCATGTGGAAATTTCTTCGACTTGGCTTCTGGAGACTTGATGAATGCACCTCACACTCCCCGAGGTCTTCCTAGAGTGATGACTATTCCGGGAGTTATATCTGATGGTAATAGGAGCAGTGATGCCGACACAGACAGCACAACATCTGTTTGCCGTGACCGGAAAATCATTGTGGCAAACATGTTGCCTTTGCATGCTCAAAAGGATTATGCAACTGGTAAATGGCGCTTTAGCTTCGATGAAGATTCACTATTGTTACAATTGAAGGATGGATTTTCACCTGAGGCCGAGGTTCTGTATGTGGGATCTCTCAAAGTCGAAATAGAAGCCAATGAGCAGGATGAAGTTGCACAGAGGCTTCTAGATGAGTTCAAATGCGTGCCAACTTTTGTTCCTCAAGATATCCAGAAAAAGTTCTATCATGGTTTCTGTAAGCAGCAGCTCTGGCCTCTATTTCATTACATGCTACCTATGTGCCCGGATCATGGAGATCGCTTCGACAGACAGCAGTGGCAGGCTTATGTGTCTGTAAATATGATTTTTGCTGACAAGGTCATGGAAGTAGCCAATCCCGAGGATGATTTCATCTGGATTCATGACTACCATCTTATGGTACTTCCTACATTTTTAAGGAAGCGCTATAATCGAGTCAAGCTTGGCTTTTTCCTTCACAGCCCATTTCCTTCTTCGGAAATCTACAGAACACTGCCTGTTCGAGACGAAATTCTGAAAGGGCTACTGAATTCCGATCTAATAGGTTTCCATACATTTGACTATGCTCGTCATTTCCTCTCTTGCTGTGGCAGAATGCTGGGCCTGGACTACGAATCCAAGAGAGGGCACATCGGGCTGGATTACTTTGGTCGCACGGTGTATATAAAAATCCTCCCAGTAGGTATCCACATGGGTAGGCTGAAATCTGTGTTGAACCTGCCTTCTACATGCAATAAAGTCAAAGAGATACAAGAACAGTTCAAGGGCAAGAAACTGATTCTCGGAGTTGACGACATGGACATATTCAAAGGCATCAGCCTGAAGTTGCTCGCCTTTGAACAGCTCTTGATTCAGCACAAGGAGTTGCACGGAAAAGTGGTTTTGGTCCAAATAGTCAACCCTGCTAGGAGCACTGGAAAAGATGTCCAGGAAGCGAAAAGGGAGACGTACACAACCGCTAATAGAATCAACGAGGTTTACGGGTCCCTTGACTACGAACCCGTGGTTCTGATTGACCGCCCTGCTCCCCTCTACGAGAAGACTGCCTATTATGCTCTGGCGGATTGTTGCATAGTCAATGCAGTGAGGGATGGAATGAACTTGATCCCTTATAAATATATAGTTTGCAGGGATGGCTCTAATAAATCAGATTCTCCAAGAACTAGCATGCTTGTCGTGTCGGAGTTTATCGGTTGCTCACCGTCTTTAAGCGGAGCTATTAGGGTGAATCCATGGGATATTGACGCTGTAGCTGAGGCCATGAATGTGGGGATCACCATGAAAGATTCAGAAAAGCAGCTTCGGCATGAGAAGCACTACAGGTATGTTAGCTCTCACGATGTAGCTTATTGGGCTCGAAGCTTCATGCAGGACATGGAGAGAGCTTGCAAGGACCACTATAACAACCGTTGTTGGGGCATCGGGTTAGGCCTTGGCTTTAGAGTCATATCTCTTTCTCCGAGTTTTAGGAAGCTGACAGTTGACCACATTGTGTCGGCGTATAAAAGGACTAGCAGAAGGGCTATATTTTTGGACTATGATGGTACTGTTGTTTCTCAGTCCTCGATGGTTAGATCCCCCAGCGATGAATTGGTGGAGGTGCTTAATGGTCTGTGCAGTGATCCTAATAATACGGTTTTTATAGTTAGTGGGAGAGGAAGGACTTCACTGAACGATTGGCTTGCTCCGTGTGATAAATTGGGATTGGCTGCTGAACATGGGTATTTTCTGAGGTAATTAAAAAAGTATTTTTTTTTCCGACTAATAAACTGGTTTCTGCTACAATAATTATTTTGTTTTATTTTAGGTGGGACAAAAACGGCGAGTGGGAATCGTTAGCAGCTGATCTTGATTGGAAAGAAATGGTGCAGCCGATTATGAAACTGTACACCGAGGCGACCGATGGTTCGTTTATGGAAGTGAAAGAGAGTGCATTGGTGTGGCACCATCAAGATGCTGACCCTGACTTCGGCTCCTGCCAGGCGAAGGAACTTCTGGACCACTTAGAAAATGTTCTTGCTAATGAACCTGCTGTTGTTCGGAGGGGACAACATATTGTCGAAGTAAAACCACAAGTATGTATATTGTTCCCTTTTGCCCAATTATACTACTAATCACTCACACTAAGTTAATATTTTCATCGAAAATTCATTTTCCTTTTTTTTTTCGATAGGGAGTGACTAAAGGCGTAGTTGCGGAGAAGGTGCTCTCAGTGATGGCCAAAGATGGGAATGCACCGGATTTCGTGGTGTGTATTGGGGATGACAGGTCGGACGAAGACATGTTTGCGAGCATAAACGCGTTCTCTACTTCAGCTGTCCCTGCAGTTCCGGAGATATTTGCTTGCACCGTTGGACAGAAACCGAGCAAGGCTAGATATTACCTCGACGACACGGTGGATGTTGTCAAACTTCTTGGAGGTCTTGCTAATGCTTCGAATCCAAAGCCCCCTCGGTGCAGTGCACAGTTCCAGCTTTCGTTCGATGATAATATATAGGGGGGCAGGTTTGTGTAAATTTTCTCTTCTTTCTGAGTGGGGAGAGAAAAAAAGGAAAAATTAAAAAAACTTAAATAATATTAACTTAATTAAATAGGATTTGGAAAGTAAAGAAACTTAAATTATAGTATTAACTGTTGGGGGAATTGATAGGTCCCTCTCTCTTTTACTGTGAATGGTTGGCTGTGAATGAAAATACTTACTTAGGTGTAGAAAAAGCAAATGGTTTAGTGATGCAGAATGTTTATAAAAAAAAGGCTTTTCCCCTAATTGGTTAGACGACACCGTTTCTTTTGTATAGTCAACTGTTGAAACTTTTTAAATGTAATTTTTAATTTGACTCTATATCTGGGCTTTTATTTCTTTTTATTATGCTTTATTATTAGTTATGGTATTTTTCCATGTTAGATTTATTAATATATTTGGTTAAATTGATACATGGTGGCCGCCTCAATTTTGACAAAAAATGGTGTCGTTAACAGGTTTCCGGTTTTCCCGGTTTTGGCCGGTCGGACCGGGTTTCGGCCTATTGGCCCTGGTTGTCGACTTTTCCGGTTTTTAATATCCAATTGGCCCGTAATTCTACCGGTTCGCGGTTTGATGGGTCGGGCCGGTCTTCTAACAACCATGATAATATTAATAAGCATAAAATAATGGAAAAGCAAATTTTGCAAGCCATGCTTTTCAACTTCTTCTTTTTAGGCCTCCTATACATGCCAACTGCCAAAAGATTTAGAAAAAAAAGCCACTCCATCAATAAAATTGGTCTTATCGTTGACCATTTAAAAAAGAAAAGAAAAGTTACCGTTAACGTGATTGAGTGATATTTTCTCATTTTTATTCGGTAATTTGAGATAAGTTCGAATTACAAAAAAAAAAATGTTATTTTTGAATAATTACGACAATCCCTCAATTATGTATTGTGTTACAAAAAAACACCTCACATTGTAGATAAATTTGACGTTTAAGACAATACATAATTAATGAGTTGGATTCCAATTGTACATGGTCGTGTGTTGTAAGACTATGGCTAAATTATTAAAAGAAAAGAAAAGGAAGAAAGAAAATAGAAAAAGGGAAGGAGAGAATAAAGTAGTTGGGCCATCTTGAAGGCCCACTTGCTGTCTATTTATATTGTCCCCATCTTGACTGTGGGGGCCTAAATAGTAAATCCACCCCCATAAAGAAAAAAAATAATCATAATTTGCAGATTAGTATGACAAAGAAACACTAATGACTAAACCCATACTAGATTCTTGCAGATAATCATTGATTAAAGGCAAATTGCTCATAATTATATCCTAGGAATTGGTCCCGGACAACATAATTATTCATTTTTCCTAATTACTACTTAAAGTAATTAATGAATTATGACAACATATTACAATCGTTATAAATTTACTGCTCTGTAAAATCTCCCCAATCTTATTGGCTTAGATTTTCTTATTAAAAGCACCTGAATTTGGTAGTAAATTAGGATTTTTTACGAAAATAGTGAAAATAAAATAAAATTGGTACACCCTGCATTTGGTAAAGAATCTATAATCCAACTGTACAGTGTACCTTCTCTGTGCCTGGTGTAAATCCACTATTTATTTTTTTACCCCTTAACTAAGGTGAAATTACAAAACACTTTTATGTTTGGGTAATTACAACCACCCACTCAACTATGAATCTTCTTACACGTCAAACCTTATGGTGTTAAATTCAACAGAATCTTCTAGATTCCGCGGAATATCCTCTAGTTTGTTATCGCTTTGTGCAAAAATAACGCTTCTAATACACCACAATCTGATATTGACAAGTTAAGGAATACATTTTATGATCATCTTATTTCAAAATATAAAGCTCGAATGTGGTAAGACGAGTACAAATTGGAGAATATTCCACATAATTTAGAAGATTCCACTAAATTTAACCCCATATGAGTAGATGTATAAGAAAATGTATAGTTGATGAGTGATTGTAATTATCCAAATATAAAATATTTTTTTTCGTAATTCAACCTTAGCTAAGGCCCAGCCTAATTTAACCTTTTTTATTTTCTTGGGAGAAAATTGAAATTTAAATCCAAATTATAATATTATTATAAACAACAATCATCATTTATTTGCCCATAATAATAAAATATATAAAAAAAAATCAAAATTTAAGTAATTCAACACTCAGCAAAAAAGACAACAATATATTTTCCACAGTTAGAAAAGAATACCACAATCCAAGTAACAAAGATTAATCTCACACACATATAAACACACAGTCATTTGCAGAAATAAGCTGCAAATTAATACAGCAAGATTGTGTCTCTCTCACACACACACAGACACACAAAAACACACACACTATTACACACACACAGTAATCAGCATACGATTCTGTTGGCAGGCACTCTTTTTTATTCACCGGTGGCAGTGGCCCCCCACCATCCTCCCTCCCTCCTCCACACACACCCCTTTCTCTCTCCTCTCTCTCTCTCTCTCTCTCTCTCTCTCTTTTGTCTCTTTCGTTCTTCCTTTCTCTCTCTTCTCTCTCTCATCAACCTTTTTCATTTCACACACACACTCTCCTCTCTCCTTCACTCACTCGCCTAAAAAAACCCATCACTTTCTTTTCCGCCTCCCCTTTTTCTTTTCGCTCATTTTTTTCCATCAAGAATCTCAAAAACCTTTCACCCCAACAACAACCCTTTTCGATTCGCTAGGGTTTCAATTTTTTCAGGCAATGCTGAGCTCCCACCTCCATTTTTGAACACTTGTTTTTCTTCACAGAATCTTTCAAATGGGAAAAAGCGTGTTTGTGCTGCTCTTCACTCTCCTCCTCCTCTTCGGCGGCGTCTGCTCTGTTTCCGCCCCTTCTTCCCCTGCCAGTAAGTATCCAAAAACACCCACATTCTATATATATACATAGATATAGATATATGCTTTTACAGACGTTATAGATTTTTTTATTTTTTTGTTTCTTTTTTTAATCTGATCTGTTGTAAAAGTTATCTCCATATATATATATATAATTCCTATTTTTGTGGGGCAGGAATTGTAAATGGGTTTTTCTCGAACGCATTGTCCATGCTGATGAAATGGATTTTGTCGCTCAAGGCCACTACTAAAACTGGTAAATAAATACTTCTAGATTTAGATTAGATTAGATGCTCTGTTTTTTTTTTGAATTAATTTTTTTTGAATTTATGTTTCCGGTTGGGGGGTTTCTTGCAGCTATGTCGGGGCGTCCGATGATGAAGTTCGAAGGCGGGTACAATGTGGAGACGGTGTTCGACGGCAGCAAACTTGGGATCGAGCCTTACTCCGTTGAAGTTTTGACCGACGGAGACCTTCTCATTCTTGATTCTGCCAACAGCAATCTCTACAAAATATCCTCCGCTTTGTCCTTGTGTAAAGTTCTTTAGATCATGGCTTTTAATCACCGATTTTATGTTTTTAGATCTTGTCATGTTATATATGCTTCTTGATTTCGTGTTTCTCGAATCAGAATAGACTTAAACTTGGTGACTAATGTTGCTTCACATCGGTGGCTGACTGTTCGATTAGTTTATGTTATTGATTGCCGTTTTTTTGTGGGCGCTAAGTTTCGGTAATTTTTCGGATAAAATGTAGATAGCAGGCCGAGGTTGATTTCAGGGTCTGCAGATGGATATTCCGGTTACGTAGACGGCAAATTCAGAGAAGCGAGAATGAATCATCCGAAGGGTCTTACAGTTGACGACAGAGGAAACATTTACGTTGCCGACACCGATAACATGGCCATTCGAAAAATCAGTGATACAGGTTATTCTATATATCTATATATATGTATGTATGTATAGTTCTTGAAAATTAAATAGAATTTTCTTGAATTTAGGTGTGACGACAATTGCTGGAGGCAAACAAAGGGGTCGAGGAGGTGGACACGTGGACGGACCGAGTGAAGACGCTAAATTCTCGAACGATTTTGATGTTTTGTATCTCGGGAGTAGCTGTTCGCTTCTTGTTATTGATCGTGGAAATAAAGCGATTAGGGAAATACAGCTTAATTTCGATGACTGTGCTTATCAGTACGGAAGTGGTTTTCCCCTTGGTAATAAGAAATTGCATCGTCACACTATACTTACATCTTCGTAATATATATATTATAGTTCGCATATTTATATTTTCTATTTTTTTCGTTTTGCAGGAATTGCTGTGCTTGTAGCAGCTGGCTTCTTTGGTTATATGCTAGCTTTGCTCCAACGAAGAGTTGGTTCGATTATTGTATCTTCTCAAAATGTGAGTTTAATTTATTAATCGACTTTCGATTATATTCTCCAATTTGATCCATTTTTTTTTCTTTTAATTCAGTCTTATTTGCTTTTGAAGGATGATAATGAAGTCATGAAAGAGAGCATATATCAGAATCAGAAGCCATTGAAGTCTTCGATGCGGCCCCCACTAATCCCGAACGAAGAAGATCAAGAAAAGCATGAAGAATCTTTTATGGGATCTTTATTCAGGCTCGTGGCACAAACCGGAGAATCCTTTGCAGATATTCTAGGAGGGGTTTTTCCGATTTTCAAGAAAAAACAACAAACTCTAAACAATTACCAATATTACAACAATAACCATCAGCAGATCAAGTATTCGAATAATTGGCCGGTGCAAGATAGTTTCGTTATACCAGACGATGACATGCCCCCTTCGATCGAAACACGAACCCCTACTCCTAAAAAGACGTACGCATTTATGAGGGAAGATTCCGAGAAAATGCAGCAGCTTAAACAGAGCCGTGCCTTCTATTCCGGATTGGACGGAAACTTCCGGAAGGTTCATCAACAACAGAATCTTAATCAGTATCGTTCGTCGGCCCCACAAACTTACTATGAGGAAGATTCTGAGAAGACGAACGAGATAGTTTTTGGAGCTGTGCAAGAGCAAGATAAGGAGAGAGAAGCTGTGGTTATAAAGCCTCTCGATTATGGATTTGCTCCACCGCCTTACGATCGTAAGAATGTTCGTTCGAGAGGGAATTACATGCACGAGCGTTGATTCGTCTTGTGCGTGTAATAAAATGTTTTTTTTTTGTTTGATTTGTTTATGATTTGAAATTGTTCATTTGGCTTTGAGTTCAGTGGTTTGGGGTATAGCTAGGTGGGAAATTAAGATAGTGTTTTTAGTATATATATTATATATATATTTATATGGAGAGTGGAATTAATCTTGTTTATTGGGAAGAAACTAATTGAATTCTTCTCTCTTAATTCAGATCAATATATTCTGTCTTTTTGTTTATTGTTTTCCTTAACTCTGTGTATATATATTTAAGGATAAATTACGGCCACTTTCCTCGCGGTCAAATTATGAAAAAATTGCTCATGTTTGGATAATTATAACCGTCTCAATTATGAATCTTCTTAAACATTCACCATTGTGGTGTTAAATTTAGTAAAATTATGTGGAATATTCTCCAGTTTGTATTCGTTTTACCACATTCGAACTCTGCATTTTGAAACAAAATGGTCATAAGATATGAAACGAGTACAAACTAGAAAATATTCCATGCAATGTAGAAGATTGAACACCATAAGGATGAACTTGTAAGAAAATTCATAGTTGAAGGGGTTGTTGTAATTACCCAAATAAAATGGTTTTTTTTTCTCGTAATTTGATTCTACGTCGGGGGTGGTGCCATAATTTAGTGATGGGATTTAGACATTGGCTGCAGCCACTACTTCCTTGCAACCTCTTAGCCTAAGACAAAAAAAAAAAAAAAAAAAAAAAAAAAAAAAAAAAAATTGTTTTTTAAGACAGGTTGTGCAAGAAAGTCAACAGATCCAAAGTTGCTAAATAATTAAATATTTGATAAAATAAATATGAACATGACACTGAGCTACTCCTACTGCATGCAACAGCACACTACAAAAGCAGATACAGATACAGATACAGACAGACATTCATGTTGTATTATAAATAATATGTGCAAGAAAGAATGTCTGCGGATATTTTATATATATATATATATATATATATATATATATATATATTTCATGTTGTTTGTGAAACATTTATTTAGTTTATTTTAGATCAGAGGACTGTTGTCTCAAACTAAGGATCTGAGGCACATGTGCACGTGACCGAGTAATCAGCAAAATTATTGGGAGCTTTTGCAATTGCTATAGAAATCATGATTTGGGATTAGGCCTATTATTTATCTTTGAAATGGTGAAACAAATTGCAATTTGTTATTATACATTAAAAAGAAAATTGGGCTTATAATTGGTTAACGCAACACACGCACCCAAAACGGTTCGTTCCAAAAAGATCCAAAAGAATCGAAAACGACGAAATTAGAAAATCCCGTTCCGATTTCCACACCTAGATAAGTGTATTATTACACATGAAAGCTAAAAAAAAAAGTGGCAAAAGCTCTAATAAGATAATTAAAATATTTACTAGAAAAGATGCATAGCATAATGTTTTCATCTCCTCTTGATCAAACCCAAGCTGCACTGCAGAGACGAGTAAACTGCAAATACTACCCCTGTGTTATCTCGAAATAGCAAAAACCCCCCTGTGATAAATAAACTAGCAAAAACCCCCCTGTGAAATTTAGTCAAAGGCAGAATCCCCCCTAGCTGATTTTTGAGACTTGAAATGACAAAATTGTCCCTCAAAATGTATTTATATATATACATATTATATGTATATTTATTCTTTTTAATTTATTTGTTTAGAAATTAAAAAAAATAGTAAACAACTAAATTGATTATTTTTTAAATAAAATAATTAAAATATTTATAAAATATAAGAATTTATTAATTGCAAGACTCCAGGGGTATTTGTGTCTTTTTATATCAAGTCAACCCTCAAATAGTTCCATAGGGGGCTTTTTGCTATTTAAATAATTTCACAGGGGAGGGTTTTGCTAGTTTATTTATCACAGGGGGGTTTTTGCTATTTCGAGATTACACAGGGGTAGTTTTTGCAGTTTACTCCTGCAGAGACTCCGGTGAATAATCTCTAGAAGCTTCCTCTTCAAACTTCACAAAATTCGCAACTATCATACAATCTACCCTCTCCTTCTCACTCATCCAAACGTCACTGCTTTCTCTCTCTTCTTCTTTTCGCTCCACCGTTTCGTTATTACCATTCGCAGGTAAAACCAGACCCCCACCAAAACTAATCATATCCTTTAACTGGTCATCTATCTCGGACGAGATACCTATATTACTATTACCACTACCGCTATTTACTTCAGCCAGGTCCAGCAAAGACACCGATTTTGCACAACTAGTACAACGAGATTCCACCATCAAAGGTGGTATTATATTACTATTACCACTACCGCTACACACTTCATCCATGTCGAGCAAAGACACCGATTTCGCACAACTAGTAGTACTACGAGATTTCACCATCAAAGGTCTAAACATGAGAGATAACTGAGAGAGACTCAACAAGACAATGTACTTAGAAAACGTACACACGGTTGATTTAGCAAGTACGCTTCTGATGCCTGAGCAAAGCATCAAAGTTTGTTTCTCCAGACTCATTAGGCATTGTGTCCAGCTGGACGAGTGACGGGGATCGGAACCTCCCTGTCTATAAAGTATTGTTAGAACATCCGAGAATTTTACTCATGTTAAATATCCGGCAAGTTTGTATATGAAAAAAACATACTTACATAGGGAATTACGTATGGGCGGATGACAAAACCAAGAATCAGGCTCAGTAGGCAAGATAGTCCCAAACCAAGAAGCCATGCAGAAGTGGTTCCTAGAACTGCAACAATAAAATAGTACACGTTATTCTTCATAAGCAAGATCAATATTTTAAGATTCACTGCTTAGTTAAAGTTCTCGTACTTTTGAGGAATATGCCACGAAGAACAATTTGGAAAATGGGAATGTGTTAATTATGTAAATACAAGTAGATCACATGCTTACCAGATCCAGATTGCCGTTTACAATCAGCTGCTTTCAGATTTATTTGACGGATTAATCTGTTACCATGGTCGGAGACCATCAAAGCACATCTTTGGGGAATGAATGTCAGCTCGAAGTTGTTTGAAAACGATGCATCGCGTGCAGGGCCATCCGTACGGCCAGAATTTTGTGAATTACCTCCAGCAATTGTGGTCACACCTACAATAATAATGTCATCAATCAAGAGAAAAAAAAAAGAGTTGTACACGACTTTCATTGTAATACAATCATATTATATTGCAGCAGAAAAAAAATGGTCAAAAGCTCGCAGTAAAACATCTCTCTCAATAGACAAGCACGTGAAATTCAAGCAAATTACACGGATGAATGAATGCATATTCAGTTTGAAAATGTTACGGATATATTTATTTACCTGTCTTTGTGATCTTCCTAACGGCACGATTCAACATGTCTGCAACATACACATTCCCGTTGAAGTCGACTGCGAAACTCCTCGGCTTATTAAACCTTGCCGAAGCCAAGTCACCGTCGATGAACCCAGGCTTGCCATTTCCAGCCAAGCTCTTTATAACAGTCTCTACAACACAAAATTGCAGTTAATACTCATTATCTAAAATCAATGTCCATCGTTTCCATTTACTTATCGACAAAAAAACACATAATTAACGAGGTGATTGCGGAAAAAAATGGTCATCGTCCAATTCACATGTCCTTCCCCGAATAAGCTGATCAACTATAGAAACCCTAGCTCAGTTATAGTAAAAATAAATAAATTAACTAAACTAAACTACAAATTAAATGGCAATCACACACCGTTGGAGGTTGTGGGCAGCGATACAGTGTAGAAAGTGCTGGCAACGGAGTCGAGGAGGACAAACGCATCGGACGGCGGAGATTGGTGGAGGATAGAGTGAGGGTTGACTTTGACGTTTGACTTGTCGCCGTCGAGGACTGTGCTGACTGTGTAGCCGTCTTCGAAAATGACCCCACCTGAATCATCCGCTGTAATTACAGTATCGCCAAAATCGAAAAACAGGTCCGAAATTTTTTTGTTACCTTGAGCTGTAATCTGATGGAAAAGGACGAACATAAGGAAGATGACGGAGAAAAATACGGGAGAAGCCATAGCCGATCTAGAGAGAGAAATGGTCGCCGACGCCGACTACACACTAGGGCTTTTTTTTGCCTTCACACAGAAGTAAAAATGGCAGTGAGTGTAAATGTTATTTATTTATTTTTATTCTGTATAATTAAAATGGAATCAAATATTTCAACTTGATCCTTTCTTTTTTTTTACTTTTTCAGTTTTTGCCATCAAATTTCTTGACAAATTGTTTGAATGACTAAAACAAATTACGAAAAAATCCTTTATACTTCGGTAACTATAACCACCTCCCTCACCTACGAATGTTCTTACATGTTCACCCTTACGGTTTTAAATTTAGTGAAATCTTCTACATTATATGAAATATTCTTCAATTTGTACCCATTTTATCTCATTCAAGCTCCACATTTTGAAACAAGATGATTATAAGATGTGTCTCCTTGGTTGTAAATATTAGATTGTGGTGCATTAGAACCTGCATTTTTGCAACGAGTGCAAACTAGAAAACATGCTACGAAATTTAGAAAATTATGTTGAATTTCACACTATAAGAGTGGATGTAAAAAAATATTTATAGTTTAGGGGTGATTGTAATTTACCCAAACATGAGGGTTTTTTCCGTGATTTAACCTCACATCGGGGATGGTCGTAAAAGAAAAAAAAATTGTTTTTGTTTCTAAATACCAGTAAAAATAATCTATATAATATATAAAAGTTGAATTGCATAGCTAACTAATTACATTTTGGACCAGGTACGTTGCGAGAAAAAACAGATCCTTGAGTTATATATTTACATTTGAATTTAATTTTGAATTTTTTTTTTGTTT